GCAGAACTCAAATTCTAGTAAAAAGACCAGACTTAATGGTCTGACTGAGACTGGAGGAACCCCGGAAAGCATGGCCCCTGGATTCTCTATCAACCCAGAACTAAAACAATTTCTGAGGCCAACTCTTCAGACAGGGATTGGACTAGACTGTGGGACATAAATTGATACTCGTGGGGAGTGTGCCTCTTGGCTGAAGTATATACAAGAGACAAAACAGGCAGCTTCTGTCCAGAGGTGAGATGGGAAGGCAGAGAGGGTTAGGAGCTGGTGGAATGGACACGGGGAATCGGGTGGAAAGGAGGAGTGTGCTGTCACAGTATAGGGAGAGCAATTAAGGTCACGTAACGATCTATGTATAAATTTTTGTATGAGAGACTAACTTGAACTATAAACTTTCACTTAAAGTACAATAAAATTTAAAAAAAAAAATTTCTTGTTTTGTTTCTGTTTAAGTTTTAATTTGTTTGCTTTTGTTTCTATTTTTGTCCTTAGCATTTTTTCTAAGATGAATACTCCACAAGCTGCATTTTAAAGTTCCTTGAAATAATTGTTCTCTGTATGTGATTATTTCACCACTTTGACATACCACTAGGCTTATTTGTTTTGAGTTTGTTTTTAAGGATTACTTTTTTGTTTTTAATTTTATTTTTGAATATGTAAAACATGTTTCCAAAGCAGAAACTATGTAACAAGGTATATTCAGGGTCACCTCATTGTTCACTCTACTCCGTTCCCTTCCTCCTGAAAATAAAAATGATTATTAGCTTTTGGCTGATCCTTCCAATATTTCTTTTGCAGATGGAAGCAAATATGTATGTATTCCTATTGTATGCACACAGGGAGCCCTCCATCTGTGCTATTCTGTACCTTGCTTTCCTCAGAGTTCCCATTGGATAGCTGTAGGCATGTCAGAAAAGGCACATCAGTCATCACATACATACGTTTGTTTTCTTACAGCATTCATCATCTCTTGTTTATATCTGTTTTTATTCTTAGTGAATTTTTTTTAAAGTAGTAATAACCTTTTTTTTTTTTAAATCCAGAATGCAAGACTGAGGGCCTTACAAGTTATTCATCCATTTATCACACACATACTCATAACTCTTTGTGTGCAGTGTGAGTGCTTATCCTTCCAGCCCTTTTCTGTGTGCATGCGGACATTTGTTATTTGATTTTGGAATTATAGTACTAGTAATTTTGGAATTACTGTGCTAGCATCGTCTTCCAATTTCTAGACATCAGACAAAAACTGATAAATTTGCAAGTATAGTACAAGAAAGAAAGCTGTTTTCTATTGCTGGTATCAAAAAGACAAAGCACCTATTTCCCTCAGAAACATTTTTAAAAATGGAGCAGAAGAAGAATAAATTATTAAATATAATGAATAGTCATTAAATACAAATTTTATGAAACATAAATTAATGACTATTAAATATGAATGAATAAAATACACTTGCTAACTAAATTACTCAAATGCAATCCATCACTTTGTCAACACTTTGGAGCACTTTTTTGTTTTTACCTTAAAAATGAGGATGGAAAGGTCAGATTGTATTATGTGAACATTTTTACCAAAAACCCTGTCATTCAGAAAATTTCCCATTTTCTCAAAACACTTGGAGAAGCAAACTTCCGTTTCATGCTTCCTCTCCTGGTCCTCCCAAACAGTAGCCCTTGTTTTCTTACATTACACCAGGTTTTACTGCTGTGATTTGACTAGTTACTAAGCTCATATCGTCTCTGTTTGCTTTATTTACACCATTCTCTTTTTTCTAGGTATTTTTTGACTTAATGAGGGAAATTCGAGCCAGAAAGATGGAAGACAGCAAAGAAAAGAATGGAAAAAAGAAGAGGAAAAGCTTAGCCAAGAGAATCAGAGAAAGATGCTGCATTTTATAATCAAAGCCCAAACTCCTTTCTTATCTTGACCATACTAATAAATATAATTTATAAGCATTGCCATTGAAGGCTCAATTGACTGAAATTACTTTAACATTTTGGAAATTGTTATGTATCACTAAAAGCATGAATTGGAACTGCACTGAAAGTCAAACTCACTTAAAAAAGAAATTAGTGTGGCTTCACCAGGAAGCAAAAGTTCAACCTATTTCATAATTGCCTACATTTATCACGGTCCTGAATGTAGTGTGTGAGCTTGTGTTTCGAGGGCAGTCTTTCTTGAACTGTAAAATAGAGGTGAGATGGGGGTGGGGAATGGGAGGAAAGGCTACTTCCTCTGGCTTATTATAAATCTTAAATTTTATATCATTTTAAAATGTCTTGGTCTTCTACTGCCTTGAAAAATGACAATTGTGAACATGATAGTTAAACTGTACCACTTTTTTTTTAACCATTGTTATGCAAAATATAGAAGAAAAAGTGATTGGCATGGTTGTTGGATATTGTTAAACTGAGAGTAATTCATCTGTGAACCTGCATTAATTGCCTGGTGATTGAGTTAGAAAAGTGGTGTAAACTTGTACATGAGAATTTTTGAATATGCCTTAATTTAAAAATGAAAAGTACCCGGTTACATTATTCTGGGTGTGTCCTCCCTGGCTCCATGGGCCTGTTACCCCATGTGTCCTGGTGAGAGAATACATGCCTGCTATCGAGTACAGCTTTTGTATGGAAGATTCTTGAGAAATAACTATCTGCTAGGAGTCTGTCCAAATTGAAAATGTGTGCCATACTCTGGTTCTTAAAAATCAGGTTCCAGAGCTCCTTGATTGCTTTTAATAAACTGTAAGGTAGTTTAAAATGAAGGGCCAGCAGAAACTTGTAAGATGATTTTAGACTGTACAAGGAGTCAGCACCAGTTATGCTTCAGTGAACCCTTTAAGCTGCTGGTCCCTGGAAATCCCTTTCTGCAAGTGGTGAGCATGGAGGTGTTGGAAGTTTTTAATTTCCTTGGAGGAGGGCACAGGAAAAACATCCGTAGTGCTCTAATGCATTTGGTACTAGGATATTTTGGGAAAATATTCATGCTTGCCACCCTTAATTTCTAAATTTATACTCATGAGGTAACAGTTTGACAGTATGGGAGTTATTAGAGGTATTTGTAGTTTGTGTTCATAATGAAGAACACTAGCTACATTTTCCTAAAGTTAACATCAAGTCAAACCCATATATAAGTTTGAAAACTTGTTTGGTGTACAGACCAAACATTAGACCTGTGTGCTCTGTCACCATTGTGTGGCGTTTTCTCCCACTGGAAGAATTCTAGCACATTATTTGGTAACATAATTTCATTGGGAAATATGCCGCTGTCAGATTTTCTTTCCTCTTTGGAATAGGGCTAGGACAGTTAATTCAACAAAGTTTATCCTTTTTTTTCAGTCCTAATTTCAACAGGTCAAGGATGTGCTTAGGCATTCCAGGTAACAGGTTGTATGTAAAGTTAACAGAAATAGGCATTTTAGGAACTCAACTCTTTAGATATTACATCTGGCTTGTCATGTTAAATATTTGTCCTTCAAGGATTTGAGATGTACAGCTTTCATATTTTTCATAGGCTATGCCACGTGCAGAATTAAAGTTACCCGTGTAACGCTGGCCCAGTGGGGGCCCGTCAATCTCAATGTGTACTCATTGCAGTCTTATTTAACCAGGGGTCCTAACCACTAACATTGTGACTTTGCTTTGAGACCTTTCCTCTCCTGGGTACTGAGGTGCTATGAAGCCAACTGACAAAGATGCATCACATGTCTTAGGCTGATGCCACTACCCGATTGGTTTATTTGCAATTTGAGCCATTTAAAGACCAATAAACTTCCTTTTTTTTAAAAAAAAAAAAAAAATGTTTGTGGTGTTACTTGATGTTTACAGTAGAACATGTAAAGTTCAGATTTATCAACCTGGGCATCTTTACCAGAAATTTAAAAACAACCAAATCTTTTCAGCAGTCAGTTTGGGGTTTCTTTTGTATAACCCAAAATTTCCTAAATAACAGTATCTTCACTGCTTAGGTTTCATCAGGGCTTGGATATGGAAGAATCCTGTGTACACAGTTACACAAAAGGTACTCCCTTTATGCTGCTGTGAAACTAACAAATGTGTGCATCACTTTCAGAATGCCACTAAACTCCACAATGTGTAGGTGACAGCTTTGTATTCATTTTCCAATCAGAATGACCCCCGGAGACAATTTAATTTCCAAATCGTAGCAGGAGTTAACACTTTGAAGTAACCACCCTGCTACCATTTCACCAAAACTTAGCCCATTCTTTTTCACATTTAATGTCTGGTGGGAAATAGTGGCCTAATAACTATCCAACAGCCCATGAGTTAGAAACACTCTGGACAACATTGATCACAACCTTTCAAAATCCGGCTTGTTTTAATTTTTTTCTTAACTCAGAAACAGTCCCAGGATGAACACGTTAAGTTGTAATGGGCATAATTTCAACCTCACTGTGTGGATCCATTCTTACACCGACATGGGATATGATGTTAAATACTATGCATCAAACAAATGGCATCAGAATGTCATGTCTCAAAATCCTGTGACAAGCATGTAAAAAAATGTGCCAACCTGATGTTACTGCTTTAAACTATTGAAGTATTTACTAAAAGTTCATGTTGTCGTTGTTAGGTGCCTCATAGTGATCCTATATGACAGACTAAAACTACCCCGTAAGGTTTCCTAGGCTGTAATCTTTATGGGAGCAGATCACTAGGTCTTTTTTCCACCGGAGCCACTGGTGGGTTCAAGCTACCAACCTTTCGGTTAGCCGCCGAACACTTAAACACTGCACCATCAAAACTCCTTAAAAGTTACAGTAGAGGTTTTAAAGTAATGCTTTTTTATTTAATCTAGCGTTAGAAGTCACCTTTAGCAAATTACTTAGGAAGAGTGGCAGGTCAATAGAGGTCTTTATTCATGCCTTTAGTTTTCAATAAATTTTTATGGACTTCCTACTGTAGGTAATTCTGGGAGTATATAGATGAATGACAAATGTGAGTTGGGGGCAATTACAGAGATTCACACTGAAGAAAGTAGCTATGTACCATGAGTATGGAAAGGAAGTGAGGTTAAAAAGATACAAGATTAAACGTAGGTCTCCTTGCTCTGGACTAGGCCCCCTAATTCTCATGATTGCCAACCTATGAAATAATGGTAGACACATATAGTGTCCTACATGCAAGGCACTATATATTTAAATTTAATACTTAACCCTATGAGGTAGGTGCTGTTGTTGGCCCCCATTGTGCAGATGGAGAAAGTGGGGCATAGAGAAGTTGATGAACTTACCCAAGGCCACAAAGATAATCATCATTAACTGCGTTTGGAAGCAACATAGTCTGGCTCCCAAATCCATACTCTTTAAACACTGCACAGTGAAGGAGATGCAGAATGGAGCTCAGACTACAAGTATTCATTAGTCTGTACTAAGGTGAGAAACTCCCAAGCTTTGCCATGGCTGCAGCCACTTACTCAATGCTCTGTCTTCAGAAAGTTTGCAGATGTTGCTGTGTAGGTGGAAAACAGACCTCCCGTGCTTACAGCCTGGTTGCTAAGGGAGAGATCAAGTGTCGAGAGGGAAAACCCAGTGCAGAGCTCAATTGTGGAGTCAGGCCTTACGGTGCTTTTTCCATAACATCAGTAAAGAGGCAACGTTCCTTTGGCAGCCTAGAAACTTTCATCCCATAGTTTTTTGGGTTTTTTTTTTTTAATTGCAAAATAATTTCCTAGTCCTTTGCTCCAGCAGCCCTGTGCGCAGCTGTTGTCGACAACTGCCTGTAGATGCATAGCAGCCAGCAAGGAGAGGTTTGGCCTTCTTTACTCTCAGTCTTAACAGAAACACTGTTTCTGGGGAGGAAGGGGTTGCTGAGGATCATTTAACAACTGTTTAGGGAGGCTGAAGGACTTGCATGGCTAATCTGATAGAAGAGGAGATTGTTTTTATCAAAAGTCCCAAGGAAGCCAGGTGAAGTGCTGAGCAGAGTCATCAGGGCTGTAAGCATCTAACAGAAAATACTCCTAAGGGCAGAGTGTTTGAAAGAGCCAAAAGGGAAGAGTCCAGGCTTGTTGAATTGTAAGGAAAAGGGGAAATGTGAGCGCTCACTGCTCCTGAGCCTCTGCTGGAAGTAACTGGTCCGCGGAGGATGTGCAGTGGAATCTCATAAACTTTTATGGACCCATCTTTCTAAAGGATGCTAGATTTGGTGGAAAGACAGATAGTTGTCTTAGAATCCTAGAATTTGGCCTAGAAGGGACCTTAGAAGCCATCCATCACCCTTAGTTTACAGGTGAGAAATTTGAAGGCCAGAGAAGAGAAATAACTTACATGAGATCACACAACAAGGAATGCAAGAACCAGAATTAAAATGTAGTTCTTCTGTCTGCTAATTCTAGCTCTTCCCATTTACCTTTCCAAGTTCTGCGTGGGGCTGAAGGTGCTTTAAATGGAAACAACACAATAGAGTCAGGGTTCCCAGAGCCCGGTGATCTAAAATTCCAGTGCTGCGTCCATCTCTTCTCACAGCCTTTAGAGAACCCCAGGTTCTTGATTATAAAGCAGGGTGTATGTATTGCCTAACTCCTAGGCTTATTGTGAGGATTGCACAAAGAATAAGCTATCTTTATCACAATGTGAATCTTCTTCTAAATGCAGAGGAAAGTTTTAAACACGTCTGGCTTTTTCTCAATAAAAACCATTTCTCTGTATATTCTGTCTGGCACTGATTTAGCCGTGAAAATACCTCCTGGGTTCATATATTTTATGTTGGCATGTGGGGGAAGAAAGAACTAGGAGACTCTAGTTGAAGGAGCTGGAGATTCAGGTGGCTCCACCTCTGTACTCATGGAATCTTAGCACTGAAAGGACCCTCAGAAGATGAGTCATGAGGAAAGGGAAGTCCACAGACACCAAGTGGCTTGTCCAAGGTCACAGCTGAAGAGAAAAGATCAGGACTTAGTCCCACATCCCTGGCTGGGTCCCACGACATCTTCTTTCTACCCTACCCTAGCACCTCTCAATAGTATCAGGAATTCCTGCCAGTGAGGTAGAGGGTACAGGCCTGGGAGCCCTGGAGGGAAGAATAGGTTAGAAATACGGCTCCCTGGAGGCCTGGAGCATTGGGAAGAGACGGACTTAAAGGATCATTAAGGAAAGGAAGGAAGGAAAAGAGAAACAAGAAAACTATGAACACCAGCATCTATGGAAAGGCCAGCCAGTATCCTACCTGGGTTATCTCCCTGCCCTCCCTGCCCTCTTGCATATCTGCCAAATAGAGATGGAAACATTCAATTCTAGACAATCATAACTGCTTTGTGAGTTCATTCTTGAGCTGGCAGGGCGCTTCAGCTGTGCCGTTATCCTGATGCCAAAGGTTGAGAGCCATTTCCCAGGAGAAACGTCTAAGAAGTCATGGTACCAAGTGGGCCTTGGAAGGCCAGCCTGTGATGGGAGGATGTCTGCACATCTCTGCCGGGCAGCAACACAGAATGCTTCAAGAGGGAAATCCCTAAGCTTCTCTGATCTACTATCTGATCACACCCCATTACACCCCACTTCCCCACACCCAGTTCTTTCCAGGCTTGTTCACTCCTCTCTGTGAAAGAAAAACCCTTTTTGCCTAATTCTTAAGACACTTGCTCATCTTATGGCCAGAGCATGTTCCCTATTGCAATAGTCCCCCCGGCCCCAGGCCACTTGCAATATCCTTTTAAATAAAGTCCCTCCTTATTAAGTCTGGATTTGTTATTTGACACAGCTTCTTGTGTTTCCTCCCAGAGATCACTTCTGCATCAATACACACATAAGTATTTACACAGAAATGCATTTTAGAACACAGAACGTTTGTCTGCTTTGATGTGTTGGTAAATGGTTCTGGGGAGAAAGGAAGTTTAGGAAACACTGTATTCTATCTTCCTTGCAAGGAGTCTCTGGGTGGAACAAACGGTTAAGTACTTCACTGTTATCCCTAAGATTGGCGGTTCAAACCTACCCAGAGACACCTTGGAAGACAGGTCTGGCGATCTGCTTCTGATAGGTCATAGCCTTGAAAACCCTATGGAGCAGTTCTACTCTGCACACATGGGGTCACCATGATTTGGAGCCAATTTGACGGCTATTAACAACAGCATCTTTCTTGCAGTACATTTTAACATAGTAAAAGCTCAGAGGACGATGTTTCTCAAACTTATTTGAACACAGATCTCTTCCTTTAGTGAGCATCCTAAAGACTTTTTCCAGTATTGGTATTTTCTGACATTACCTTTAGGAGAATACTCATGTAGCGAGATGATATTTGATAAACTAGCCAACGTTTTTCATTGCTGGTCATTCCTGGTTTCCTGAGACCGTCTCCTCTTCAGGCATCAGCTACAGTATTCTGGACTCAGAGCACTGGGGAAAGGGGTAAACAAAACAAAGAACTGTTGCCATTGAGATGATTCCGACTCACGGCGACCACATGGGTGTCAGAGTAGAACTGCACTGCATAAGATTTTCACCCCATGTATTGCATAGTAGAACTGTGATCCAAAGGGTTTTTAAGGTTGTGATCTTTCAGAAGCAGATTACCAGGCCTTTCTTCCGAGGCCACCTCTGGGTGTGTTCGAACCACCAACCTTTTGGTTAGTAGTCAAGCACTTACCTGTTTGTGCCACCCCGGAACTGTGGTAAAGGGGTACAGTAACACAAAAATGTCCATTCTGGACTTCTGATTTTCAGACTACATTTTTGAGACAACAGAATGAGAGATAAAGGTTTTGAGTCTCAAAAGTCAAGGCTCCAAGGGGCTCAGTACATGAAGTTTATGAAAGAAATAATAA